GAGCCAGGAGCTTCTTCCAGGTCTCCCATGCGGGTGCAGGGGCCCAAGGACTTGGACCATCTTCTACTGCTTTCCCAGGCCATAGCAGAGAGCTGGATTGGAAGTAGAGCAGCAAGGACTCCAACCAACACCCATATGGGATGCCGGCACTGAAGGCAGTGGCTTTACCCACTATGCCACAGCATCCAGATTAACTATTTATTCCAGCTCCACAGATGTGTGATCTTGAAGAAAAAAATCACTCATCTTTTTGTATCATTTATATCACATGCTTCAACTCTTTGGTCTTTTGTGAGGATTAAATTTGCACTCAGCACTTTACACATAGTAATTATTTTTATTATCATGTTTTCTCTATTTGTCATGTATACAGAAATGAAGGTAGTAATTATAAAAAGTCCAGACAGTCCTTAATTGTAAATTCTCCTAATTCTTTGCTAGGCGCAGTTTATGATGATCAGCTAAAAATCTAAGGAAAATAAAACAAACTGAAATAAACTCTGTTGCTGTGGAAAAGGACTATAGCTATGGGCTGGGCTCTGCCCTGTGTGTCTCCAGATGAAGATCTGTATTGATTCCTGAGGAAGCTCCTTTGAAAGCCAGGCAATGGGCTCTTAAGGCTCCCTTTCTGCAACAAGCAGGAGGTGAGAATGAGACAAGAATTCAGGCAAATTTTCCTGGTTTAATGACCAATTTGAGTGACTCAAGTGTTATTTTCTTGGTTTCAGGCATGCTCAAAGACCTATTTGTTTCATTTTGTGGGCAAATCCTCCTCAGCTAAGTTGGTTGTCACATGATGTAATGATATCATAAGCAACAATAAAAATACTTTTCCATAGAAAAGAAAACAAACTGAATCTTCTGAAAGAGAGAAGGATCATTTAAATGCCCAAGCTGTTAAATTATTTTTTATTTAACTCATTTGCAAAATATTTATTCATTATTTATGTATCATGTTCGAAACACTGAATTAAGTAGGACTGAGAAAAAAGTGACTTTCTACTCTTAAGGATGGGAAATTGAGATGAAAACACAAGCATGCCAAAGATCTCGCAATGGTGTCAGTCACAAAAGCAGAGCTGAGGAACCCACTGGAGAGAGTCTTCTCAGAGTCACTGATGTTTATTATGCTTATTTCTGTTTAAAAGACTAGAGGTAGAAAACATAGTGTTATCTTCAATGACTGTGATATGACTTGAAGCTACGCAGAGGGATGAGTAATAAGTCTGAAGGGGACAGTGACCATGAAAGGGAGCATACGTGAGCAATTAAACAATGAGTTGAACAATCCCATCAATATCACTTAGTCCCAAGAAGACCTATGTGTTAAGAGCTGTTCCTGGTTCTGAGAGGAAGTGCAATGGGAGAAACCCGGGGTTATCTGCTGTTATTATTAGTTATTACTACTAGTACCAATTAGTTATTAGTTATTTTTATGAATGCAAGCTGCCAAATGAGAAGGCCTGTTTTAAGAGCTTACCCTGGCCAGTGCCGCGGCTCAATAGGCTAATCCTCTGCCTAGTGGTACCAGCACACTGGGTTCTAGTCCTGGTCGGGGCGCCAGATTCTGTCCCAGTTGCCCCTCTTCCAGGCCAGCTCTCTGCTGTGGCCAGGGAGTGCAGTGGAGGATGGCCCAAGTCCTTGGGCCCTGCACCCCATGGGAGACCAGGAGAAGCACTTGGCTCCTGCCATTGGATCAGCGCAGTGCGCCGGCCGCAGCACGCTGGCCACGGCGGCCATTGGAGGGTGAACCAACAGCAAAGGAAGACCTTTCTCTCTGTCTCTCTCTCTCACTGTCCACTCTGCCTGTCAAAAAAAAAAAAAAAAAAAAGAGAGCTTACCCTGCGGCTGTTCATATTTCAGGGTTATTTGGCCAGTGCTGCCCTGGTAATAGAATGTTATGCTACCCTATGGTCTTGGAAACCTTCGAGTGCTAACAGAAGAGGATGATGAGTCTCAGACTGGTGAAGGAGGAAGACATAACTCAGAAGTTAGTGAGAACAAGAGAAAGAGAACAAACAGTGTGCAGTGTGTGCTTGATGTTCTCAGAGCTGTAGGAGGGATCTCAGTACTGCAAGCAGTACTGGAAGCAGTCTCTCAAGGAAGGACTCTTCAAAGGTGTGGAGGGGCGACAGTGGGAGGACATACATAAGGGACCAGGGATTAGAGGCCAAATCGTCCTGGTTGGAGAAGAAAGTCCTTGGCAATAGCGGACCAATCTGAGTAGCAACCTGTATTCTATTTTCAAAAACTGAGTGGGAAACCTGTGAACATGATGACATAAAGTGTTACCGAGGAGTTGGCAGGAGCTAGAGGGATGGCCACTTCTGGGCACAAAAGTGCCTCCTTTTAGGCTTGCTTTGAGTCAGCAGACAATTTAACCTATGGTGAACTGCCGAGAAAGGGTGGTTGCATACAGACTTGTGAATCACACAGTGATTTTCCCAGACTGCTTTCCACTCTCCTTTCCAACAACTTTCTCATCTTTCCCTCAGGACTGACCCTGGCTAAGCTGAAATTTCAGCTAAATTTAATACAGTGCTACAGCTGGGAAACAACCAGAGGTTTTAATTGAATCAATTATATAATTTACCAAATATGTATCTGAGTGATGTAGATGACAGGACTGCAAGTCATTCCAGCAGGACTTACTGAATCAATACTATGTCCCATGCACATCCCATTTACTGAGAGTACAGTGGGGGATACAAGTCCCATTTCGGACTTTCCGACACTGCCCTAGCTGCTTTTGCACCTGAGGCCCCTTGTACTGGTTCTTGGGGGATTTATAGCCACCATTTTTCAGTTCTCCTTATCCTCTACTGTTGGCTAACCCTAGGGTTCCTTCTGTCTCCATCCTTATCACCTACATCTCTTCTCCAAACTCTCAGAAACCATCTGGCACATCAGAACACTGAGGCTTAAGGACAAGTGAGAATACAAAGTTTTTCTAGGGTTCAAAGGAATTATTGTCTAATCTTCAATTCTTTTATAAGCACTTCTTAAAATCAATCTTTTTGTTGTTATTGTTTTGGTAACAAAAGGGACATGAATTGCCTACTTTTTTATTTAAAAAAACTTTTTTTTTTTTTGACAAGCAGAGTGGATAGTGAAAGAGAGAGAGACAGAGACAGAGAGAAAGGTTTTCCTTTTGCTGTTGGTTCACCCTCCAATGGCCGCCGCGGCTGGCACACTGCAGCCGGCTCACCACGTTGATCCAAAGGCAGGAGCCAGGTGCTTCTCCTGGTCTCCCATGGGGTGCAGGGCCCAAGCACTTGGACCATCCTCCACTGCACTCCCTGGCCACAGCAGAGAGCTGGCCTGGAAGAGGGGCAACCGGGAAAGAATCCGGCGCCCCAACTGGGACTAAAACCCAGTGTGCCGGCGCCGCTAGGCAGAGGATTAGCCTATTGAGCCGCGGCGCCGGCTAAAAAAACTTTTAACAGATATAAAAATCATTTATATGTACATATGTGATGTTTTATTATATATATGTGTATCATTTAATGTTCAATCAGAGTATATACACATTTATTTTTTCAAGCATTTATTACAATGTGGAGAAAACATCCCCAAATCCTGCGTTCTACTTTTTTAGAGAGAAATATGCAGTAAACTGACTTTACCTATTATTTGCTTCAGAAAGTGTTTTACTTTCCCATTTCCCTTTTCAAAGCTATTCCTCCTTCTTTACAAAGAAAGACATAAATTACATGTAGAGGTGTAAATCAATGATAGTACTTACATCGATGCTGGAAAATTGAGGGACTAATACCTGGGTACCAAATCATGTTGTAAGTTAGTGGTTTCCAATCTATTTCTTTCAACACAAATGCAATTGAAGCTAATTGAATTGTCAGCTAATAGATCAATAAAAAGAGTTTAGATGATATATTACTGTATAATTCCTGGCACATAACTAATAAAATGTTCAAATAATTTAGCGTTATTACCATAAAAAAATAACTCTCATTCCCAGGGCCAAAGTACTTCAATGTCATTTATGTGAACTAGTTTTCTTACTGTTTATATCTCCAAAATGAAAAGTAAAAATGGAATTGATATTGAACTATTTCTCATTTGCAGTAATAGTCTTAAGAGAGCCACCCAAGAACTGAAAAAAGTGCAATCCATATTATTACAAGAAGATCAGTTTTGAATAGATTTTTGAAAATTATGTTTTTCCAAAACTTGGCAAATATTTATATTACTTTGATTAAATGCATGCTAATTATATAGCATTTAGAAAGAAATCTTCTGTAAAGTACTTATGGTCCCACAAGAACAGAAGACAAAACACATGTGGATAGATATGAAGAAATCAATAAAAGTCTTACAATTATAAAACTATGTTATAATATCATGAATTGTGATGTCAGTGAGATTAACGATAAAAATTCTGATTTTAAAGACACATTTATATAATTTTGAAACAAGTATTTCTAGATATCAGCAATCACATTTAGGGTGCATTGGACACTTAGGGGAGTGATGAACTAGTTCATTCAAAAGGTCAACACTCATAATTCAGCAGAATTCAGAGCCCCTGCAACTATTTAAATATCTGATAACAAGTAGATGTCAAGTTAAAACTATGTACGCTGGTTTCTTTCTTTCTTAATTATGCTCCTTAAGGGAAAATAAGTATGAAAAGGCAAGTGCTAAGTCTAATGAAAAATGAAAGTTATAATTAATATCAACATGTCACCCAATTTCAAATTAGATTTGTAATTTTATCACAGGTCCTCTGTGGATGTCAGGAAACCAGCAGTGTTGTCGTAACAGGATGAGAAGATGACTGCCTCGTCTGTTTGGCTGCCAGCTTCATCGGTTTCCTGAGGCTAATGTAACAAGTCACCATACGTTTGATGTTGTTAAGACAACCAAAGTTTATTCTCTCACAGCCCTGGCCACCGGCATTCCCCATATTGTGACCACATTATTCCTTTCTTAAGGTCAGCTTTTTCAATTTTCTCTCTTCTACATCTTCTCATCTGAACATTTTTTATGTGTGTTTTTCAAATTTCCCTCCACCTCTCCCTTATAAGAATCCTCATAATTGCATTTAAAATCCAGCTAGATAAGCAAGAATAATCTCTCCATCTCAAATTTCTTCATTTAATCACATCTGCAAAATCCTTGAAACATTTACAGTTTCCGGAGATTAGAATTTCTGCAACTTTTGGGATTCTACTGTCTAAGCTAACACACCACCCTGGAAATGAGAGTGTCTTACTCTGGCACAGAGAATGTACTCATAAATGAGTAGAAAAATCATGCCTTGCTAAACAGAGCTCCCATGTTTCCTCGACTTTGTAGACCAACCTTTTTCCTGGCACACCACCTTGTACTACAGTTCAGCAATTTCTTTAAGTGATGGCTTCCTCTTAGTCCAATTTATTTCTCAATCTATAGCTTGCTTTCATATGTTTAATACTTCATTCATTCAACAAGTATAGCATACAGGTGCTGTGAGACATAGGAGTTTGTAGGTGTTCCTGAGGGACGTGGGGTAAGAGTATGGCAGGGGCAAGACAAGAATAATAATATCAAGGCTAGATCTGAAATTATTCATAAGCATTTATCACATAGCTACTGTAGATAATGCTACTAGTTATTGAGTATAATCCTCAAATCTAAGACTCTTTCTCTTGAAATCAGAAATGAAACAGCAAATTGAAGGAAAATGTAATGACAACAATCAATAGGTGGAACACTGAGTATCTGCCCAGGTTATAATCTGTGAGGGGTTGTTAGTGGTTTAGTCCACCTATCCATCTCTCTCTGTGTGCTATTTTTTCATGCACTCAACCGGACAGAGACCATGAGAAATCTGAGTGGAGGCCACATAGCAGAGTTTGTCTTGGTGGGTTTCCCTACCTCTCCACCCATGCAGCATCTCCTCTTTGTCTTCTTTTTTGCAATTTACGTGTTAACACTGTTAGAGAATACACTTATTGTCTCTACTATCTGGTTCACTCCAAGCCTTCATCGCCCCATGTACTTTTTCCTTGGCCATCTCTCCTTCTTGGAACTTTGGTACATCAATGTCACCATTCCTCGGCTCTTGGGAGCATTTCTTACCCATGATGGTCGAGTCTCCTACATAGGTTGCATGAGCCAACTCTACTTCTTCATTGCCTTAGCCTGCACCGAATGTGTCCTTTTGGCAGTTATGGCTTACGACCGTTACCTGGCCATCTGTGAACCTCTCCGTTACCCTAGTCTCATGCCTTCCATCTTGGCCACTCGCCTTGCCACTGCCTCTTGGGGCAGTGGCTTCTTCAGCTCCATGATGAAACTTCTGTTCATTTCCCGACTGTCCTACTGTGGACCTAACATAATCAACCACTTTTTCTGTGATATCTCTCCACTACTCAACCTCACCTGTTCTGACAAGGAGCAAGCAGAACTGGTAGACTTCCTCCTAGCTCTGCTGATGATTCTGCTCCCTTTGTTGGCTGTGGTTTCATCTTATGCTGCAATCATTGCAAGCATCCTGAGGATCCCTACTGCACAGGGACGCCACAAAGCCTTCTCCACTTGTGCTTCTCACCTGGCTGTGGTTGTTATTTACTACTCCTCCACTCTCTTCACCTATGCACGACCCCGAGCTATGTATACCTTCAACCACAACAAGATCATCTCCGTGCTCTATACCGTCATTGTACCATTCCTCAATCCAGCTATTTACTGCCTGAGAAATAAGGAGGTGAAAGATGCCTTCAGGAAGACAGTTCTGGGAAGATGCCACTAATCTAGACATGCCCCAAACTGATATATGACACATCCTGACAGGGAAGCAAACAGGAGTTTCATAGGGCCTTCTCAAGGAATCAGAGAATGGACTTACAGGGAACATGAATATCTATCAATCTATTATATTGTCTCAGGAAGTTCTAATACAAGCCAATGTTGATGAATCATTGATTTTTTTACAGATCTTTTCTTTTTAACTTTTATTTAATGAATATAAATTTCCAAAGTACAGCTTATGGATTACAATGGCTTCCCCCCCATAACCTCCCTCCCACCCGCAACCCTCCCCTTTCCCGCTCCCTCTCCCCTTCCATTCACATCAAGATTCATTTTCAATTCTCTTTATATACAGAAGATCAGTTTAGCATATATTAAGTAAAGATTTCAATAGTTTGCACCCCCATAGAAACACAAAGTGAAAAATACTGTTTGAGTATTAGTTATAGCATTAAATCACAATGTACAGCACATTTAGGACAGAAATCCTACATGAGCAGTAAGTGCACGGTGACTCCTGTTGTTGACTTAACAAATTGACACTCTTGTTTATGGCATCAGTAATCACCCTAGGCTCTTGTCATGAGTTGCCAAGGCTATGGAAGCCTTTTGAGTTCACTGATTCTGATCATATTTAGACAAGGTCATGGTCAAAGTGGAAGTTCTCTGCTCCCTTCAGAGAAAGGTACCTCCTTCTTTGATGACCTGTTCTTTCCACTGGGATCTCACTCGCGGAAATCTTTCATTTAGGGTGGTTTTTTTTTGTTTGTTTGTTTGTTGTTTTTTTTTTTTTTGCCAGAGTGTCTTGGCTTTCCATGCCTGTAATACTCTCTTGGGCTTTTCAGCCTGATCCGCATGCCTTAAGGGCTGATTCTGAGGCCAGAGTGCTTTTTTTTTTTTTTTTTTTTTTTTTTTACAGATCTTTCGAAACTAAGGTTGGGCTTGTTACATAAGAACCACCTGCATGTTTGTTGAAATAAAGTTCTAGAAAAATATGTGGAAAGTCTGGTCAAGTATACCTGGATTGTAAACCTAACAGGTACAATTTCAAAACTTTATAGGAACTCCTATTTCCCAGATAGTTTGAAATTTCCTACTGTAATCCTAGACCATTATCTTATAAGTGAGAAAATCTAACAGGAGAAAAGACAGGGCGTTTACTAACGGAATGTGTAGATAAAATCATGTAGTCACTAAGGTAGAAATTTCATAGGCCCAGATAATCAAATCCAATTTCCATGAGAAACTACAAAAGGATGTATCATGCCCCTAAAATGAAATTTCATGTCACCTAACACCCTTTTTCTATGTAAATCTCACACTCACTGATAATCAAAGCAGAGAAATGCAGTGTTAATATTCAGACACATATGCATCCAACAGTCCGTTGTGTCTGAATATTCTCTTCATCTGTCATTTTGAATCTTAGAAGATTGTGAAGCTGGTTGACCTATGGGTGTTAACTAGGTAAAATGTTTTAGAACAACTTTACACAGAATCTTCCCCAGCACTTTGGCCAACTTCTGTTTCAAATAGTGGCTGTGTGGAGCATTTTGTCAGTGAACAAAGAATCACAAGTACAGCAAATATTTTATAAGAGAGATCAGAGAATGAGAGATAGGATGCATCTCTGTGGTGGGTCAAGAGCCTCAGTCATATCTATATGAATCACAAGTTATTCCACCGGCTCCCTTGATTTTTGGAAGGTATTCTAATTGCACAGAGAGATTTTCACATCCTGACTCTAGGCTCATATACCCAGATCTTTTCACCCCGAACCAAATTTGGCTGATTACTTAGATGAGGAATATATATATATACATATATATACAAGCAAAATAAATGTGCAAATTAATAAATCCCAACAAACAGAGATTTTGGTCAGTGCACATTTTTCTATTTTGAGCCAGGGGAGCCTATGTTTGACCACTAAGAAAACTATTTAATCAATAATCATTCTAGAATTTCCAGAATCTAAACTAAAATAGCAAAAGCAAACAAGCAAATAGAAATCTTACATTTGCAAGTTTACCTCATTGCAGCTTGAATTACATTACATTCTATTCTGTGTTCATAGCTATGGAAGTCATGGATTTTGTGGTTAAGAGAATCAGCTAATTTCAATATGAACCTGGATTTACCACTAATGAGTTATAATTAAATTATTAGAGGCAAAGAACTACACAGTTTTGCTCTTAGTTGTTTTTTTAAAGATTTATTTATTTACTTTGAAAGTCAGAGTTACACACAGAGAAAAAGAGAGGCAGAGAGAGAAAGAGAGAGAGAGAGGTCTTCCATCTATCTGCTGGTTCACTCTCCAATTGGCTGCAATGGCCGGAGCTGTGCGGATCCAAAGCCAGGAGCCGAGAGCTTCTTCTGAGTCCTCCCATGCTGGTGCAGGGGCCCAAGGGCTTGGGCCATCTTCTGCTGCTTTCCCAGTCAAGTCAGCAGGAAGCTGGATTGGAAATGGAGCAGCCGGGTCTTGAACCAGTGCCCATATGAGATGCTGGCACTGCAGGCGGAGGCTTTAGCCACTATGCCACAGCACTGGCCCCAATTCTTTTCTTTTTATAGTGAAAATAGAGTCACCTATCTCATATGCTTGCTGGGTCTATTAAAGAGATAATGCATATGCAAGCATAGGGTTAACAGCTTTTTTTTCACTCTTTTTCTGTGAATAAATTTGATGTTGGATAAACTTCCTACCCCTGGCTCCTTGGAAACCTGGTAAGTGTTACTAGGCTATATTGCTTATGAAACAAATCAGCACTGCTAAATAGTCTGTGGTCTGGATGACAATAAATATAGATAAAAGCAGTAAAAAAAATCACAGCTTCAGGCTACTTTTGAAAAGTCACTTCATTTGCAGGAAATTTGAGAAATTATGTATGCTCATAAAACTGGGGCAAGAGATATAATTAACTCTGATGGCGTGAGGATTACAAGCCATGGTAAGATCTGCACCACTTTGTGTGAAACTCATATATTTATAGCTCAGCTATGACCTTGAGTAATAACATTTAGCCAATGAACTGTTTTAGGATTCCTTTTCCAAAAGACAAACTCCTGATGCTGCCTTGTTTTATTTCCTATCCTATCTTTTTCTCAATTAACTTAATGCCAAGTGTGGCTTTTTCAGTGTGTGAATTTGCTTGTGGGGCCAGTAAGACCTACTGGTATAAAAGGTAGTAAGTGGCTGCCAATAAGAATCACTATTATTATTTCATTATTAATATTATATGCTTTCTAGCAGATGTGCATGTTCTATTGATGTGTCAAACTCACTATTATTCAAACCAAGTTTGGAAAATGGACTTTCTCTAAAACATGCATGGGCAGTAAAATTGTAAGCACCCTCATAATTATTTGGAGATAACAAACTGATAAAAACATCTAACACTCCCAATTATATACTCTACCATTATGTGAAGGTGTCTTTGGTTTGAACCAGGGGAGCTCCCTTTTAAAAATTATGAGGACATATCATAATACATTTTTAGAGTATCAAATAGAATATCATTCTTATCTTACCAATTTTGACCTTATTAATAACATTTTTTTTGACAGGCAGAGTGGACAGTGAGAGAGAGAGAGACAGAGAGAAAGGTCTTCCTTTGCTGTTGGTTCAACCTCCAATGGCCGCCGCGGCCGGCGCGCTGCGGCCGGAGCACCACGCTGATCCAATGGCAGGAGCCAGGTGCTTATCCTGGTCTCCCATGGGGTGCAGGGCCCAAGGTCTTGGGCCATCCTCCACTGCACCCCCTGGCCACAGCAGAGAGCTGGCCTGGAAGAGGGGCAACCGGGACATAATCTGGTGCCCCGACCGGGACTAGAACCCGGTGTGCTGGCGCCGCAAGGCAGAGGATTAGCCTAGTGAGCCGCGGCGCCGGCCATTAATAACATTTTAAAAATTGATTTAAAAGACTTCATTTTCAAAATTTTTTGAAATTCAGAGAGTCAGAGACAGAGATCTTTCATCCATTTGTTCACTCCTCAGATGCTCACAATAAAGAAGATTAGGATGGGTTAGGCCAAAGTCAAGGTCCTGAAACCCAATCAGGGTATCCCATGGGAGGTGATGGATTCCCAAGTATTTGGACCATTACTTTTGGCTCCTGGGGTACACATTACTAAGAAGCTGGCATCAAAATAGGAGCCAGGACACGTACCCAAACACTTTGAGATCTTATGTGGGTGTCCCAAGCAACTACCTGAGCACCTAAAAGGAAACCTGTTGAAGTGAAACGGACACTATGAGAAACATTGTCTTGATCAGCCCTTTTCCTGACTGTCAAGGAACAACTTACTATTTCATTCCCCTTAGTATTTTTTTGTTCTACTTAATACCATTGGTTGAACTCTTTAATTAACACACAATTATTCTTAGTCATTTAAATTTAACTGAAAAGTTATCCCTGTTAAATATAAGAGTGGGAATAAGAGAAGGAAGAGAGGTACAGTTCGGCACATACTCACTTGGACTTACCCCTAATGGTTGAGCTAGAAATGTGACAGGGGATTCCAATTCAATCCCATCAAGGTGGCATGTACCAATGCCATCTCACTAGTCAAAGCGATCAGTTTCAGTTCATAATTGATCATAATGATAGGATTAAGTGTCAAAGGACCAGTGTCTGCAAATAATAATTGATAGAATTAAAAAGGAGAGAATGATCCTACATGGGAAGCAGGATACACAGCAGACTCACAGAATGGCAGATGTCCTAAACAGCACTCTGGCCTCGGAATCAGCCCTTAAGGCATTCAGATCAGGCTGAAAAGCCCATGAGAGTTTCACAGGCATGGAAAGCCAAGACACTCTGGCAAAAAAATGACCTAAATTAAAGATCTCTGTGAGTGAGATCCCAGCGGAAAGAACGGGCCATTAAAGAAGGCAATACCTTTCTCTGAAGGGAGGAGAGAACTTCCACTTTGACTATGGCCTTGTCTAAATAAGATCGGAGTTGGTGAACTCAAGAGGCTTCCTAGCCTTGGCAGCCCATGACAAGAGCCTCGGGTGATTACTGACGTCATAAATAAGAGTGTCAATTGTTAAATCAACAATGGGAGTCACTGTGCACCTGCTCCCCATGTAGGACCTCTGTCCTTAATGTGTTGTACTATGAG